ACACTAAAGACATATTTGTAGTTGTTATTAAACTGATAAGAACAGATACTACACTTGATCTTAGCCAAAAGGCCGAGAAACGATTGTAGTTGTTATTATCTGTAGTTTTTTCTTCTTTCATATAAAAAAAACTTGAAGCAAATGTAGCAAAATGCTAAAAATTGTCTTTCAGGGTGCTGGATATGTTAGTTTGTCCTATCGTTTTTCATACTTTTCTGCATTTAAGAACTTAACCCCTCTCTGCCTTCCCCAATAAAAGAATGATTATTCATTGAAGGGGTGGTAAGACTAGCTATTACAGTTCTCTTCATTAGTTTTTGGGCTTTCAGGTTTTTTACCTCTTGGGTTAGTTTTGGATATGTTTTGTAGTTTTCTTGAAATGCTAGAAAAAGTGAAAGGTTTCCTAATTTGTTCATATGACTTTAATTAAAAAAAACTTTTATAAAGATAAAATCAAGTGATCAGTGACTAGGAGTGCTGCAGAGCAAAGGCAAATCCTGTCTTTGGGGTCCATGACTTAAAGCTTCGGTCCCCAACCCCCGGTCCATGGAAAAATTGTCTTCCATGAAACTTGGGAAACTCGGGAGCGGGGATGCACACAGCAGGAGGTGAGAGGCCAGCAAGTAAAGCTTCAGCTTCATCTGTATTTTTTTTTTTTTTTTTTTTTTTTTTGAGACAAAGTCTCACTTTGTTGCCTGGCTAGAGTGCTGTGGCGGCAGCCTAACTCACAGCAACCTCAAAGTCCTGGGCTCAAGCAATCCTCTGACTCAGCCTCCCGAGTAGCTGGGACTACAGGCACGCACCACCATGCCCGGCTGATTTTTTCTATATATTTTTAGTTACCCAGCTAATTTCTTTCTATTTTTTAGTAGAGACGGAGTCTCGCTCTTCCTCAGGCTGGTCTTGAACTCCTGAGCTCAAACAATCCTCCCGCCTCGGCCTACCAGAGTGCTAGAATGACAGGTGTGAGCCACCATGCCCGGCCTAGCTTCATCTATATTTACAGCCGCTCCCCGTCGTTCACATCACCACCTGAGCTCTGCACTGGGCCCCTCTTCTGTGGAAAACTTGCCTTCTGTGAAACCAGTCCCTGGTGGCAAAAAGGTTGGGGACAACTGCCTTAAAGCATTCCCACAGTAACATCCTAGGGAAATGAGCAGCCCACAGTCAGGTTATAAGGAAAAAATGACAAAACACACAAAGAGGCCAGGCACAGTGGCTCACTCCTGTAATCCTAGCATTCTGAGGGGCCGAGGCGGGAGGATTGCTTGAGATCAGGAGTTCGAGACCAGCACGAGCAAGAGTGAGAACCTGTTTCTAAAACATAAATAAATAAATAGATAGATAGATAGGAAAAAAAAAAACCAGAACCACACAAAGAAATGAGCACCACAAATGAGAAGAAAATTGGCCCTCCCCAAAAAGCCCATCAACTAGTAGAAATAGATATACAAACACCTGATATTTAAAAGTCACATTTAATATGTTCAAGGATTTAAAAGAAACTTGAAAATATCAACAGAAATAAGCAATCTTGAAAAATGTGATTCCTGAAAAAAAAAAAAAAAAAAAAAGGCTGGGCGCTGTGGCTCATGCCTGTAATCCCAGTACTCTGGGAGGCCGAGGCGGGCAGATCGTTTGAGCTCAGGAGTTCAAGACCAGCCTGAGCAAGAGCGAGACCCCGTCTCTAC